ATAGTAATAAGGTGGCAAATATTGAATGATAAGAGAAATTATTAATTATTTTATATAGTCAATACAATTGGAATATTTCGCAAATATAGGTACATGTAACTATATTCCCAAAATGTGCTTTACCATATATATATAGAATAATAAGATGGTGACTATAAATTTGTGTTTATTCTACTATATCTTCATGTTTAGATGAATTTTAAATATATGTTTGAGGCCAAAACGAACTATAAAATATAGTGAGATTATAGTTATTCCAATTATTTTTTTCTCTCAGCGTAGTACATAAGTGGTTTGAAGAATTTATCAGAAAAGCAGCGAAAGGCTCTCTTGGAAAGAATGTGAATATCGGCAACGTGATATTCACATTTACGTACCGTCTATATGTAAGAAAATTGAAATGACAACGTAGCACATACTTGCATAACATCTGTGAAGCAACGATATATGAAAAGATAAACCGAAATTATAGAAAACTCCTTTGAATTAACCCATTAACGCCCAAAGAAACAGAATTTTGTTTGTTATTTCAGACGTTGTAAGTAACATGAAAATCAGTTTTAAAATAGCTCCAAAGTACCTTATCCACTATTTTCGAGGTCGCTCTTTCGATTGGTGAAGTCAGAATTGCATTTTAAAGTCACCAAAAAAAAATATGGCGGATTTTAAACAAAAAAGTGACGAAAATTCTGAGTGCTTCCGAGTTTGGGATTTTTTTTGAGGGACAAAATGCCATCAAAATATTTTTGGACTTCAACCAAAAGTGCACAAAATAGTTCAAGATGACGACAAAATTTTTTCCTTGGCATGAAAAATTCCTAACCTCTTCATAATAACCGGAAAGCCCTGCGCGTTATTTGAATGATGGAAAAAGAGATTCAAATAGCTGCCCGGTCGCCCAAACTTTTTGAAAGTCCCTGAAAGTCCCTGGAAACTCGTATATAGGGGTTTTCGGGGTTGCTGAACACGAATCTGAGGTTAGAATTTTAAAATTCAAGATGGTGGATCCAATATGGCCGACAAAATATCGAAAAAAGCATCAAAACTGACTGAAAATGCATACATCAAGGTTTTTGGGGTCGCTGATCACGAATCTGAGGATAGAATTTCCAAATTCAATATGGCGGATCCAATATGGCCGACAAAATATCTAAAAAAGCATCAAAACTGACTGAAAATACATACTTCAAGGTTGCTGAGGACTTTCTTGTCATATTCGCTGAATAAAATTTTATTCATGAGATCATAACAATACCTTTTTCATTATTTATCCCATTAAGATCATTGATTTTTTCCAATGTAGCTTGATGTTCATCTAGATTTTGAATAACTATTTATTTTAAATGATATTTTCATTATCAAGTTTCAAACATATAAAGTTCCCTCTTTCAAAATTATCAATAGTTTATTTGGGTAATAGTCCAAATCGTTGTCAGTTTGTACTTTTTTAGTTTTTGTTGAGCACAATTCCTCAGGTATCGTCAAATAATCTCAGATTCTTGACGCAGGTGGTGTCCTAAAGTTACCAAAAAGGGGTTGACATCGTTTGAGTTATAATTCGCTATACTTTTGTATGAACTTGAATTATATCACAAATAAACTATTGAATGTAATTTCACATTCAACATGAGGAGGAATTGGTTGCCATTCCAAATCCAGATAATTCTGGTTCCTCAGGTGGAGAGAGTTCGGATGATGAAACTGATCGTGGAAAGGCCAAAGTAACTATGACTTATGACAAGATCTGTAAAAGTTATCGCGAAAATCAAGATAAATTGGAAAAAGGTCATGAGTTCAAATGGGTGAATGGCGAAAAAAAGTATACATGCGATCTTATGGATAAAGTTTTATTGAAGGATACTCAGAAGAAACGTATTAGAGAAAGCAAGCCAGTTGAACTTTTTGAACAATTTTTCTCTGTAGATATGACAGACTATATGATCGATGCCAGCAAAGAAAATGGTTTGAACTTGAATATGGATGATCTAAATACGTTCATCGGTATTATTTTAGTGAGTTCTTTCAACAAGCGGAAGTCTCAAAGAGATTATTGGGCTGCTGATCCTTTTTTATCGTGTGAAGTAATTTCTTCCGCAATGTCACGTAATACGTTTGAAAATATAAAATCTAAACTCAAATTTTCGAAAACGAAAGATGAAAATACCGATGATAAAGGTTGGCGCGTCCGTGTTTTGCTAAATAAATTTCGAAAAAATATTCTCCAGTACGGTATCAGGAGAACTGCCATGTCTGTAGACGAAATGATGGCTAAATCATACGCGAGAACATCATTGAAACAGTTTATTCGGGGAAAGCCTGTTCGATTTGGATTGAAATTTTGGGGTCTTTGTACAGCAGACGGATTTTTACTGAATGTTGATCTTTATTGCGGAAAGAACTCAATAATTGGTGAGAAATTAGCTAAATGTGCTTTGGGTTCTCGCGTTGTTCTAAATTTATTGAAACCATTTTTCGAAATGGTTCCTGCTGGACAAGTTCCCCAGTTCCATCTATATTTTGACAATTACTTCACGAATTTAGATCTTATGGTGCACTTGAATAAACTACAAATAAAATGTACCGGGACCATAAGAGAGAATCGAGTAGCTGACAAGAACGTGATCAGTAAGACGTCTAAACGCGGAACGTATGTCGTGAAGCATGATAAAAACAGTGGCATAAATTATATAACGGCTATGGATTCGAAGTTAGTTTCAATCATATCTACTGCTGCTGGAGTAACACTTTTATCAGACTCTAAGAGGTACAGTTCGGAATCAAAGGCCAAGATTGATATACCGTTCCCACAAGCTTTTCATCTGTACAATCGATTTATGGGTGGGGTAGATTTACATGATGGACATTGTAACAATGTTGCGCCGTGCATCCGATCCAAAAAATGGACGTGGGTAGTTTTTATCAGATTGCTTCAAGCAGCAATTGTGAATGCCCTTGTGATTTTCAATGCTTGTGGAGATGGTCAGAATAAAGTTGGAACGAAAGAATTTGTTATGTCAATAGCCAAGAGTTATGTACAAAAGAGTCAAATGAGGCGTAATATACACAAAATTTCTCGACAAAGTAAACAAAAGAAGTGCAAAAATTGTTCAATCAGAACATACAATTTCTGTGAAGGTTGTGATGCATACTTATGCAGTCCATGTATGAAAAAAGATCACTAAGATGTTTGAGTGAGATGTAGTGAGCGGCAAGGGGACTCACAATAAAAAAGCACCCCGAAAAGTGAGAGGCAAGGTGACTCACGATAAAAAAGCACACCGAAAAGTGAGAGGCAAGGGGACTCACGATAAAAAAGCACCCCGAAAAGTGAGAGGCAAGGGGACTCACTATAAAAAAGCACCCCAAAGGAGACAGAATTTTACTACGTCCACGCCGTTGTCTCTGGGTTATGCAAAAAGTAGAATATATATTTTCAGTCAGTTTTGATGCTTTTTTCGATATTTTGTCGGCCATATTGGATCCGCCATATTGAATTTGGAAATTCTATCCTCAGATTCGTGATCAGCGACCCCAAAAACCTTGATGTATGCATTTTCAGTCAGTTTTGATGCTTTTTTCGATATTTTGTCGGCCATATTGGATCCGCCATCTTGAATTTTGAAATTCTAACCTCAGATTCGTGTTCAGCGACCCCGAAAACCCCCATATACGAGTTTCCAGGGACTTTCAGGGACTTTCAAAGAGTTTGGGCGATCGGGCAGCTATTTGAATCTCTTTTTCCAACATTCAAATAACGCGCAGGGCTTTCCGGTTATTATGAAGAGGTTAGGAATTTTTCATGCCAGGGAAAAAATTTTGTCGTCATCTTGAACTATTTTGTGCACTTTTGGTTGAAGTCCAAAAATATTTTGATGGCATTTTGTCCCTCAAAAAAAATCCCAAACTCGGAAGAACTCAGAATTTTCGTCACTTTTTTGTTTAAAATCCGCCATATTTTTTTTTGGTGACTTTAAAATGCAATTCTGACTTCACCAATCGAAAGAGCGACCTCGAAAATAGTGGATAAGGTACTTCGGAGCTATTTTAAAACTGATTTTCATGTTACTTACAACGTCTGAAATAACAAACAAAATTCTGTTTCTTTGGGCGTTAATGGGTTAATATGGTAACGCATCTATAAGGAAGTACTATAAGCAATCTTGAAATTCAGTGTATGTCATTTCGCCGAAGTGTGAACATCTTTTTTTTTCATAGTGTTAAACATGTCGAGTTTCGTGCCAAAAAAAGAGTATTTGCGGGGAATTTTATTGTACTACTTTATTAAAAAAAAATCTGCAGCTGAAGTACACAGAATTCTTGTTGAGACTTACGGTGACCATGCTCTGCCAGAAACAACATGCAGAGATTTTGGCTTAGACGCTTCAAAAATAATTATTTTGATGTTGAAAATAAAGAACGTTCTGGTATACCGAAAAAGTTTGAAGACGAAGAATTGGAGACATTACTTCATGAAGACTCATGTCAGACGCTAGCTGAACTTGCAGAATCATTAGGAGTTGATCACACAACAGTTTCGAGACGTTTGAAAGTATTAGAAATGATTCAAAAGCAAGGACATTGGGTGCCGTACGAGTTAAAACCGAGAGACGTCGAACGGCGTCTTTTCACGTGTGAACAGCTGCTTCAACGGCAGAAAAGGAAAGGTTTTTTGCATCGTATCGTGACTGGCGATAAAAAGTGGATACACTACAATAACCCTAAGCGTAGAAGATTGTGGAGTGAGCCCGGCCATGCATTAACATCGTCGGCAAAGCTGAATGTCCATGGTTCGAAGCTTCTGCTCTGCATTTGATGGGATCAGCTGGGTTTAGTTTATTATGAGTTGCTCAAACCGAACGAAACCATCACGGGAGATCGCTATCGACTACAATTGATGCGTTTGAGCCAAGCATTGAAGGAAAAACGGCCGCTATAAGAGCAGAGACACGACAAAGTGATTTTGCAACATGATAACGCTCAGCCACATGTTGCACAACCGGTGAAAACCTACTTGGAAACGCTTAAATAGGAATTTCTACCCCACCCGTCGATTCACTAGACATTACCCCTTCCGATTATCACTTGTTCCGATCGATGGCACATAGTCTGGCTGAGCAGCACTTCCATTCTTATGAAGATGCCAAAAAATGGATCGACTTTTGGATAGCTTCAAAAGACGTGTCGTTTTTCCGACATGGAATTCAAATGCCAGAAAGATGGGAAAAAATAGTGGCTAGCGATGGACAATACTTTCAGTGACATGTTTTTTACAAGTTTTTTTAAATAAAGCATTAATTTTCACGAAAAATCAGCGAGAACTTATTCAAAGTCCTAATAGTATTTGTATGAAACCTAGTATCTAGTGTTTTTTGGGTCGCTGATTACAAATCTGACCTCAGATTGTCGAAATTCAAAATGGTGGATTTAAAATGGTGGACAAACATAAAAAGTGGATAAAAAGTGAATAAAATATCATAAAAATCGTTACTCGACGATTTTTAGGGTCGTTAATTGCGAATCAAATATCAAATTTTCAAAATTCAAAATGGTTGATCCAATACGGAAGACCAAGAAATAAAAAAATGTGTTTTAGGTCTTCAAAATTAGTTGGCGGGGATCTTTTTGGCAGCTGATTACGAATCTAAAATCAAGAGTAAATTTTTTGATCCAATGCATTATGCCAAACATGTAAAAAATGAGTCTCGTCAAAAGATAGAAAATATCCTGTAAAATCTCGATTTAGCGTTATCCATAGCTAACGATGCTAATTTTAAAAATTTGATATTCGATTCGTAATTAACGACCTTAAAAACCATCGAGTAACGATTTTCATGATATTTTATACACTTTTCAACATGTTTGTCCACCATTTTAGATCCGCCATTTTGAATCTCGAAAATCTGAGGTCAGATTCGTAATGAGCGACCCAAAAAACACTAGATACTAGGTTTTATACAAATACTATAATTTTCTGGAATTCGTCCGCCATATTGGATCCGCCATTTTGAATTTTTAAAATCTGACTCCGGATTCGTAATCAGCGACCTAAGAAACCCTTAGATAACAAGTTTCATCGAAATCTGATAATTTTTTAAAAAGTCGTCCGCCATATTGGATGTGTCATTTTGAATTTTGAAAATCTGACTTCGTATTCGTAATCAGCAACCCCAAAAACCTTAGACCTTATTTTCAGCTTATTAATTATTGGTTAGTCACAATTACATTTATTATAATATATTAAAAGACAGTATTTTTATAGTTTGTTTATTTATAAAATACATTTCCTTTACAATAGGAATGTTTTAAAAATTTTTTATGACAACTGATGTTCTACATAATTGATAATGTACTTTTTATTGTACAGATTGATGTTGAAAACTATGTAAAAAATATAAAAAACTAAGGGCAAAAAGGTATCCAGTATATGGTACACTATGCCGCAAAGGGTTAAGGGGCGCCGCACACGAATTGACATAACAGTAACGTACCGTAAGAATTGACCAATCACTTTGAGTATCGTCGAACTGTAAGGTCGCCATTTTTGTGAATACTCGATTGTAATTGGTCCATTTTTACTGTATGTCTTACGTTACTGTTATATTAATTCGTGTGCAGCGCCCCTTAACCCTTACGAATCTGACCTCAAATTGTTGAAATTCAAAGTGGCTCGCAATCGCAAGATCGTTGACGCAAGGAAATTGACCAATCATAATTGATTATTCTTCGATCGCAAGAAGAACAATCGACTATGATTAGTCAATTTCTTTACAACCTTGCGATTTACGACTAATGTATAATAGAATGGGCTTTATGTCGTTATACAAGAATGTGTGCTTCCCGCTTAAATATCTTATATTTAGTCTTTATATATGTATAATTTATGTACTGTCTCTCTTACTATTTGTTTTACTATCCGATCTTAACTTTTTTTTTTTTACAAAAGTAACGGAAAGTAACGATTTTTTTATCGTTACTTTTCAAATAACTGTAACGAGTTACTTTTTACCGCAAGTAATGGTGACGGTAACGCGTTACTTTTAAAAAGTAACGTTCCCAACCCTGATTATTTATTTGTTTTTCCTTATTATTTTTATTTATTTCGATTACTTAATCTCTTTTTTCAATATTTTTAATTAACATTATTTCGATCACTTTGAATATAATTACATTGAAAATATTCAAATGCATTTGCATGTAAATAACTGATGTATACGATGTACAAAAACTTTATATGTTAGAGCACTATTGACGCGTTTATAAGAGATTTAAACAATATATGTCTGAAAAAAAATTATCCGCTTAAAATTTGTATTTTATATGTTGTGAGAATCTCAGATCTCAAGGATGATCGGAACAACTTTTATCAGATTGGTTGCAATTGAAAACATATTAACTCTTAGCTAGCACACTTCATCACAATTTACATAGCTGGCACACTGGGCCGTTTGAGACTCCAACTACTAAAATGTTTGCTGCGTAGAAGCTATTGATTTTTTTCACTTAAAAAAAATTCAAATAGTTTTCAAGTAACGACTTAAAAGATGTTATAGGTTATTTTGATAAAATATAATATTGAGTATGAATAAAAATTTGAGAACGTAAAAAAAACGAAAAAATGACTATTTTTACTAAAAAATTCATAACTCTAATTATTTCATATTAAGAGCTAAAAATTTAACTTGATACTCTTGAGATATAACACTTTAAGAAAAAAAAAAAATAGTTTGATAGTGGCCGTTTCAAAAAAGGTATTTATTTGGAGAGTTGAAAAGACAAATTTTAGTCAAAAATGTACTATTTATTTTTTCAAATTATACTTATTTTTTCAAAGTATACTTGTTTATTTATTAAATATGAGTGAATTTTACTTGATTAATGTATAATAATTATTCTCACGATCTTCCTCGAGTAGCTGCAGGCATATGGGCCGAAGCCGTAATTGATACGTCATCTAATAAAACCGGAATAATATGATACTCTTGAAAAAAGAAATTAAATGCCGTAGAACATTATGTACTTATCTTTTTCTACGTCCTGATGACAATCACCAATGAAAAAAAATTCAGAAAAAAATTATAGCTAATAATTATAGCTAACATACTGGGGTCTCTGATGACACCACTCCGTTTCACTCGAATACCACAGCTAGACTGACGCTTTTAAAATTACGCTAGGTAATCCAGGAGAAAGAAGGTTCTTTAGACAAACAATAGATGATGGCACAAGCACCATTTTCGTACTATGGGGGGGAGTAAATTGAAGCTGAATCAAGCTGAATTAAGCTGAGGCTTTTGGTGTGCTAGCTAAGGGTTAACGTTTTTAACAGAAATGGCATTAAGTTTTTAATTCCGACTTTATTTCTCGAGATATTTTAGTTAATAATACGATTGACGTAAAAACTATGGAAAAGCTGGTAACGTCGTGATCATCATGTACTGTATGAACATAGTCTTTCTCGGATCTATCCTTCTCGGAGGATAATCGTCTTTATGTACTTTTAATATGTACTTAATATATACTTAGTGATGTTATCGTATCGCTTGATAATTTTTTTTTTCGTAGTAAATAGAAATGTAAACAGTGCGACTTTTTTTTCTTGCGCAGGAAGTAAAATACTGTCACGGCGTCGAAACTTTCACCCGATGGTCCTCGCGAGCCTGGACACCAGGCACGTTTCAGTGTGCCCACATTTGCTTGCGCGGGACCACGTTGACCCGCGTTCGCGACAGACTCCGGTAGCTCGATTAAGTTTAGAGTCGGAGATGGGTCTAGGAATTTGGAAAAGAGCTTCGCTGAGGGAAAAACCACGATAAACTTGCTTGGATAGATTGGTAGCTTTATTACAATTTTTTTTCACGCGAAGCTAGTCGACAGCAGTCGCGAATTGAGATGTTCGCTCGCGCGGTATTAATTCTTCGTGCTCTTCTATAGCGACAATCCCGAACCGCCGGTGTGAGAGCCTTTCGACGACAACCGTGGTATCAAGGTCACGGCTGACTTTAGCTTCCGCGACCGACTCGCTCTTTCGGTTGTAACAGCGTCCGGACGGAACCTGTGGCCAGATATCTTCACCGTGGGAAAATCGACCGATAGTTGAGCGACTTTCCTCACAAAAATCCGCACAAACGCAAACTCACAAAATAAAGTGGTCAGTCGCTCCACTCGCGTCAGCCTCTCCGACTCTTTAACCCCGACCCTTTCCTAAATAGACAACGGACAAAATACGGTATAACAAAGAAAGGACAATCTTACAAAACTCGCCGCGGTGCTTCCTCGCCAGACCTTCTTGGTCATTCCTCCGCTTGTTCGCTCGCTCGCCGATCGGGACGTCGCTTCTCGAACACTCGACAGCTACTCGTGATACTCATGATTCTCATGCTATACAGTTAGATTGAGAAGAGTGCCCGAACGTTTCGAAAGCTTTCTGCTAAAAGTTCTCTTCCTCTTCCATTAGTGTCGTTGTTCCGTCTTCCGCTTCGGCATATTTCGGCCTCATCCGGCTCCCGTGCCTCTGATCTACAGATCGCCGTATTTGTCGGGGAGGGGGAGGGGGAGGGTTTGTCGCCTCTTGGTGTCGGCCTGTGGCCTTCCTGGCCTGTGACTTTCTAGTAACGTTAGTCCTCAGGTACGTCACGTCTTGCTAAGGGCTATCGCACACAAATTGACATAACTGCATATGCATAGCATAAGATCGTATGGACCAATGAGCATCGAATATTAAGCATCAAACACCAATATGGCGACTTAATACTCGATGCTCATTGGTACATACGGTCTTATGCTATGCATATGCAGTTATGTCAATTTGTGTGCGATAGCCCTAACCTGCCGTCCACCGTCTCCCCCGCTAACGACATCTCTACGATACCTAGGGAACAATACATACTGGCTACGATAATGTGCTCTGCCATTTAGTCGTATTAAATGATATTGGAGTGGAGTTACCTTGTATTTCTGGCCCTTCCAACTTTTCGATGGTGGTGAGTTCTCCACGAGTTCGGCTCCTCGGAGACAAATTTAAACAGAGAAAGGATATTATAAATGACGGAATACTTATAATTATAGATGTTTAATTATCATAACAGTCAATTTATTAGTATAATCATTTATAAACTTAATAATTTAAAAAGTAATCAATCCTTTCTATTAATTTTTGATATCTATAACACTTTCCTTGTAGGATCTGTTGGTAACGGTCACATAAAAAATCCTTTTTAGAAATAATTTTTGCAACACAGCAATAACACAGCAATTCGGCATTTTGACTCCTACCTATATACATTTGTATTTTAATTATTTATAATCATATAATTTATTAATAACCTCTTTCTAAGATTAGAACTCTAAGTTTCTTCCATTCGTTTGAGATATGTAATGTACTTTACTATGCATTCATTTAATAAGCAAGTAACGATATAATAGTTTTACTTACTTCAAAGATGAATCAATTCTTCGTTTATTATAGTGTAAAACAATCAAGAAAATGTATATTATTAACGCACGGAATTATTTCACGATGCGACCGACGCCATTTTATTACAAAACATGCTGAGTGGCCAGACTCTATGTATAGGGACTCTAGTCACAGTTGATCGTTCTTCTTACGACCAAAGAAGAATTGACTGTGATTGGTCAATTTTCTTGCGACCTTGAGACTTGCAACTAATGTAGAACGACTTTTACGTCCCTACGCTATTTTATGACGGCGCTCGTTAGCCCGTCACGTTTTTCTTTCTCGCTTGGTGCGAGACGTTGCCGTGTATCTTGATTTCAATTTCGATGTGTTCTTTATATATATTACGTATCTAACTAACTTCATTAATTATACAATATCAAATACATTCAAAAGTCAAATGCGTTTACATATACTCATACATAACTATGTATACTGTAAAAGCCTTAAATATTAAAATACACGATGTACGAGAGACTTTAACAATTGATGTCTGAAAGAAAATCTAATAGTTGAAAATTTATATTTTAGGTTGTAAAAATTCCAGATGTTAGGATTGATTATACCAATTTTTTTTTAGATTAACCGAAATTAAAAGCTTATATTATTTTGTCAAGAATGCCATTAGATTTTCAATAAGATTTGCCATTAGATTTGCAATTACGATTTTATTTTTTAATATATTTTAATTAGAAGTATAATTGACGAAAAAATTCCAAAAAAACTTGTAGCGTCGCGATCGTCATATACCATAAACATAGTCATTCTCGGACCTGTCATTCTCAGTAGATACTCGTCTTTATGTACTTGGCATCGCAACGTTATCACGTCACTTGATCTATAGTCAATAATCTGTAATCAGTGATCTGTAATTATCTCCTTTGTAAAATAAAGAGTTATAATCAGGTCAGAATGGTTTGCTATCTTCTTCTCGTTAAAAAATAAGATGCGTTCCTATCTTATTTTCGTAACTTCTGTTTTTAGTGAATTTCAAGCAGACTTTATCAAGAAAGAAAACATTAAAATTTGTACTTGAAAATTTTTTCAGAAGCTGAAATATCCGAAGGCGGTATTGTTCATCGTCAGCAATGAATTCTGCGAGAGGTTTTCCTTCTATGGGATACGCAGTTAGTATATTAATCGTTAACGTCAATCTAACATATAATTGCTAACGCCAATCATATATCTACTTCTATCTATATAATAGAAGAATAGTGCTCTGTAGCGTGCAGTTAGAACAATTGCTTCCTCCGCTCTTATATAATTTTGTTTGCAACTCGTACAGTTTTTAATCAATAGCACAAAAATAAGCCTTTCGTTTTGATGCGTAAGTCACGAATGTACTACCTGGCAAGCCGGCAAAATTATTAGCTCGTTCTTTAATTTCAATTATATTGAAATCATTAAGATAATCATTGAATTAATTGTCCCAATTATTCTAAATTTCAAGTCAAACTTAACTTATTAATGTATAAAAAAGTTAACACGTCATAATAAAAACACGAAAAATATTTTTTTTTATATTCCACAGTTCTTTTGCAATTATATTCTAACGTTATAATTATATTTTAATGTTACATTATTAATATTTAAGAAAAAAATGTAAAATATTTGCTTTATCAACTCTTTAGATTTATCAGGCTGTTAGTATGTTTTACTATTAATTATAGTTACTATTAATTTAAGGCTTCTATTTCTTCGCTGCGAACATTTTATTTTATAACGTCAGAAACAAGAAAGCATACGCTAAAAATTCTAGCAAAATGCATTAAAATAAAATATGTTCACAAAATGATACTTCCTATCCAGTAAATTTGTAAAATAATCCGAACGCTTTCCTTTTACTTTAACAATTATTAAAGAATCGTACAATTAAGGTGATAGAATCATAGGAAAATATGGGTTAAGAAGTTAAATTATACATCATGTTAATTTTACGATAATTTATTAAATATTAGAACAAAAAAAAATATTCAGGCTATTTTACAGATTTGCCCAACCGATTTGCGTGTCATTTTATAGACATATTTTTTTATTTCAACGTATTTTGCATGAATTTTGGGCACGTGTTTTGTCACTTTTGATATCACCAATTAAGAGTTTCGACGAGGGATCAAGAGCTTTAAAATCTAATAATTTTTCTTTGAAACTATAATATTTACTGTTTATATTTGGTCTTAACAATGCCTTAACAATATCTTAGCAATGTCTTTTAATGTTTGACTGACAAATCCATATAAATAAATGAAAGTTATTCTAACGTTAAATGATCCATAACACTGTTGTACGTTTATTTTACAACACGAGTATGAATAGTCATTTTCAATTTTTCCTGCTGGACATGGATTCATTGCCCAAATTTCGCTAATACGTCACAATTTTAAGAAAAATTAAGATAATAAGAAAAAAAAGATATCCTCGACATTCTCGATTTTATCTAGCATTAATCCTACGTAGGGCGGTGATCTGACCCCATGTGTGCACACATGTACGTACGCACATGCACCCGCATACACAGCAGAGAAAGTTCGGAGTCATTAAATACTATGAGAGTGATAAACTGTGTGGTCATTATCTCTGCATACACATGTGCAAACTCGGATATGATGGCCATACCGGAAAGATGGCCATAGGCTGTAATTTCTCTAATAATTGCAAAACGTTGCGTTTGTGTCACAAAGATCATCGATATTTATCGTAGTGTATGTGCGTACATTTTTCGAAATAGCCAGATTATGAATATTATACTATATTGTTATTTTCGACTATCTGTAAAATTTCTCATGTATCCACTAAAACTTGCTGTAACGTCGAATAAATTATAATTAGTCTATCACAATCAACGTTAGATACATAAAATAGGTATGTAAATTGTACATGTATATAACATGCATTTTTATTTTCATTTTCACTATTTGTTTATAAATACTATTATAACCGTCTTTCACTCACATTTTGGGTAAGATGGCCCACTATTATTCTAACATTTATAAAACAAAAGTCGTTATATTTCAAAAATTTCTTTCAATATTACAGTAATTAAATCTTATGTGCAATATGTTTTGATAAAAAATTGGATTTAAAATTTAAGTTTTGTAATAGAGGTTTCTATTTTATATATATGTTATATTTTTCACAAATAATATGTATTAATTATCCTACTAAAATGAATGTTAAATCATGTTTTCTTCATTATTTTATAAAATAATAGGTACAGAATCTTGAACATAAAATATATATAGGTCATCTATTCCTTATGGCCATCTTGTCTTAAATATTTAGATAAAATGGCTAATGTTCATGTTTTGATATTTTTGTAATAAATAATTTCACTAAAGTATTTTCTTTTTAACTCTGATAGTATTATGTACTGTAGGCTTCAGTGAAGTAATGTGCCAAACTCTATTAATCCATAACAGGTACTATGCCTTTTTAGTCAAACTATAAGTACAATGGAGTCCGGTGGACCACAATAAATTTTTGCCATTTGTAACATGATAATAAAAGATAGAAAAAAAACGCTTTATAGTTCGAAAATAATACTTTACGAATATTATATTACAACTATACATATATAATAACAGTCTCAGTTTTTCAGTAATCTAAAAGAAAACGTTAACTGATTATAAAATGAACACAATATAGACAGTGTTAAAATAAAATACACTGAAAGACAAATAATCGGAAAAAGAAAAAAATTTATGTTTTAATCTGTCTACAAATTATAAATTATATAAAAAATATAAACAAGTATTGTTAAATTAAATACAATATTAAAATCTTAGAAGGTTTTTAGATGCAATCGTTACAGATGGTGCTTACACATTTGGTGCATACTTTTTTTTTTTTTTTTTTTTTTGAGGCAGAGGAAATGCATTACGCACACCCCCGGGAAGACGGGACTTTCCCAGGGGTAGTGTGGGACTCTCCCCCTCCGGAACTGCGGCCGGAGGGGGCCTACCCACTAAAACCTCTGCCGGGCCCCTTGCGGCTATTGCGAGGGCGCCCCGGGAACCGCTTGCGCATTACTTCCGGGACGCCCTCTGCCGCGGGGCGGGGGAAAAATCTAAACCCCCGCCCCCCTTCCCGGGCCGGGAGTGATATTCCCTCCCGACCCGCTGTTCCTGTCCTCTATGACCGGACGTGGGCCCCCCCGTCCGGTCACACCTCACCTTGTAGGGGCGTTATTGGCCGGGTCCGGTCCCGTCCGGACCCGGCCCGCCCCTACGCTCCCGACCGAG